CCTATATTTGTAGTAGGGTTTGTAATCTGTAAGTAATTATACATGTAATTTATACATTTTTTATTAAAAAAATATGTTATTTAGAATTTTGCAAATATTCTAGAAAATGCTAATCCATTGAAAAAAATCTTTTCCATAACTATATAAATTTTTAAAAACGTCAGAAAAAATAGCAGTTAAAATTAATAACAAAATAACAAGAATAAATCATCAATCATATCAATATTTTTAATGTACAGCATTTAGAAACAACTTAGTAAAATACATATGAAAAATAAAATAATGTGCAAGTTTCAGATGTGCAATGTCAAAAAATTAAAACTGGTAAATTTGAGAACAAATATCCTCAAAATGTTTGACAACGAAAGTCCTCCGGACAATGCAGAATGAATGTCCTCAGGATGTGAAATTGGTGAACTCCTCAGGACATCTGAGAATCAACATCTTCAGGACATCCTGTCATATCCCGGGACATAGCGACTTAAATAAGACATCCTCAGGATGTTAAATTACGATCTCCTCATGACATCTGAGAATCAACCTCCTTAGGACATCCTAAGTATGTCCCGGGATATTGCGACTTAAATAGGACATCCCGAGGATGTTTTGTGCTATGGGGGACATGGAGAAAAAGCATTTGAGTAAAACTTGCATGAAATTTAAACTAAATTTATGAATTTTTGCCTATTTGTTTTAAAAATCGCTCGATATTTTAGACTGTTTGACGTTTATGATTTTGAAGTTACAACATCTAAAAATGCTTCGATTATAAAATTTTAGAACGTTTCGCAGGAATAGATTACAAAGCAAAAATTTCGCCCTCTTTTAAAACAAGTATGATAAAAAAATTACTCGGACCATTTTCTATATTTTCTAACATGTATGCTGCAGCCTGCTGAAGATGGAAGAAAAAAGAAATTTTGAGTTTGCCATACTGGTACATTTAAGAACGAATTGGTGATATTCTTCTTTTTTTCAATTTTAGTTTCAAACAAAATGCTCGTTATAACATTGTTACCTTATCCAATTTCCGAAATTGAATATTCAAAGCAATTTCTATAATCGCTGGATGATGTTCAATTATTTTCTTATAATTTATTGCTTTGTGATTTAATAATAACTAAGATTTACATCATAGATAAAATGTAGGTGACTGAAAATCAGAAAATTAAGTACAATTAGCTTGTATAATAAGCTTACATTTAAAATAAATGATATAATTAATGCACTTAAAGGAGAAAAATAAAAATAATTTATCATACAGTTTTATAGAAATAATAGATTAAAGAATTCTATTTGCAGAATTTATCTACAATTTTGTTTCGCTATTAATAAAATCGTTGGGTATTTTAATAACGAAATCTTTTGATTGCATTGCATTGTCAAATGTATAGACTATTATCTTTTTTAGCTTAACTGGCTCCTCACGGTTTTATTATTAGCGATATAAAAATATACGAATTATGTCAATAGAATTATTTAGTCCACTGTAAAATAATATTAATCTACTATGTAATAAATATAATGTGTCTAATAATAATCTATATATAACATTTCTACTACATAAAAAAAAAAATTTTAAATCTGAAGGGTTTCAGATTTTAAATTTCGTCCAAAGGAGAGTTTTTTTAACATTTTGTCCGTTACCTTTACTTATTAAATTTCGCGTTCTTCGCACTTAAACTATAAAATCAAGTTCAAGATCAATATCGCAAAATAGTTTTAAATTCAAAATATCTTTAGAATTTCCGATACAGAGTCTCGCGCGCTGGAGATAATTTATTTTTTTTTCTGTACAACGTTGCCATTGTTCGCTTTGAAATCCTTGGGCTTGTTAATCAAAAATTCGTTAAAGTTTTACAAATATGAAATCGATAATAAAACAAATTCCAGATTTCAAACTTGGACTTCCACATGCCCATATTCACAGTAGGATTACGTCATTAAAAATTGGATGGCTCTAGGTACCGTTGTTTTATCACAATGCGAGAAACATATATACATTTATGCAGATCCCTCATTTCTTCAAATTTAATTTCTTCAAATATAACGCAGGCTCTAACATTTGGTGACAACAGTTTGAAAAGTGAAACGAACATTTATAGTGAACCAACGCAAAATCGCAAAACAAAAACAATAGTCCTTCAGGGACAAAGCCCCTTTGGACTAATAATTCTACTATATAATAATAATCTACTATGTAAAAATAACATTTACTTACTATATGAGAAACTATCTTTCTCATTTTAATGCATTAATTATGATATTCATTTTAAGCAAAAACTTTTTATGAGGACTATTTTATCTTATCTATACTCATTCATAAACTAAAATACCTAACTGCTAAATAAAAGGTTATGACATTTACCCTAGGGGTAATTTCAAAATCCAACCTGGGTATGAAAATTTTCCCTAAGAGGGCTTCCTTGTTGAGAATCCCTGCTATAGTGTTTCTAATATTTGTTCTTGTGCTTGGTTAATATACATATAGTGTTAAGAAAATCAAAACACCTGTATAAAATTTCAATGAAATTAAAGAGAAAACAAAGAAATAGCAAGCAAAATACAAAACAAAAATTTACAGAGCTAGCTAATAATATTCTAATAAAGCCTAAAAGTAATAACTAGAATTAAAAAATAGGAAAAAAACAAAAACACAATAGGTACATTAAAATAAAAATGTTGTTAGAAAGTTCAGTCAAAAGTAAAAAGAAAAAGAACTGAAGGGTAGTATGACTGAAGGAATCCCTCTAGAATAAAGGCAAATATTCGATTTTTTGTTTTCTCTTTATTAGTGTATTCTGTATTCAGAGGAATAAGAATGAGTAGGCAATAGAATCTAAGTAGTGGCTTTCCTCATTAAAATAAATTTTTAAGATATTTAGAGGTTTGCCATTAATCTACAGACGGCGTTTAATAATTTTAGAATAATTTCGGTGTTGTTTAATTAAATTTTAAAATGTAAAGAGTGTTTTTCAAATGCTAAATCATACAGCCACTTTTCCGTTCTATAACTCTGCATCGTGATTTTCTATGATGGAATGTCATTTTGTAATATTTCTAGGATTTCTTTCGATTTCCTTCCTCTTTCACTGTTTTCAAGACTCCATTAAAAACGCACAAGCTTTGGAATAAAAGCTCCTGGAAAACTTTAGTATTTGATAATTGATGTAAGAAATATCGTCTGTTACTTTAAAATTTATTATTCTTTTAAAATGTCATGTGTAACTAAACTGTGATTGAAAGATATGTTTCTGCGCCTTCGAAGGGGAAATGTTCTTATTCCATGATTTCGAAAATGTTGTCAACTACATGCAATTAAAATTTCGAAGTGCAAAATAAGGAAAATTACTTATAAGAAGGAAAAAACCGCCTATCTTTAAAACGAATACCCGAAATAGGTACATATTTTCTTAATGTTTTTTAAGTCAAAGCGTTGCTAAGGAGAAAAAATCCGCCGACGTAAACTCAGTTGCAGAGTCTTTTAAATGCATCTCTAGCAATAATAAATATAACAATACAACAAGATTTACAACTTAAATAAGCTAACAAAAATTATTTTCAATAACTTCTGCCGAGGCATATGCCTCAATGCAAAACAATTCGTACAAACCTGCATAAAAACTATTTAGTGAAAGATAAATGAAGATATATACATTGTGACCCTTGCGGAAGATGAGTTTGCTTAAATGACCGCTACAACAAAATATGTATTTTTTATGGGAAAATAAGAGACCAAATCGTAGTAAACTGGTTCTGTAATTGTAAAGAAAGATTCAATAAAGGGTTTATGCTTGTGGGCAAGATTATCTTACAATAGAAAATTAAAAATAAGAAAGTGGAAAAAAATGTTTAAATCAAGAGAAAGTTTTACGCTCGATAATTACAAAACAAATTCCATTTTTTGTCCGAATGGCTTTCAGAGAAAGAAACTTCAGCAAGATAAAGCAACAGGCATACTTCGGAACTTACCACTGCATTTCTCTAAAAATTGAAGACTGATACAGATATTGCATGTATACCTTTTCAATGTATTCCTGCTAAGTGTTTTGATGTTTCTCCTATGGACATCTGTGCTTTGTTCTTTTCAAAAGAGCTCTTTCTAAGCGCAAACCCACCACGATGGATAAACGCTGGAAAGTAATGGAAGAAGAATATATAATCAATAGGTCTGGAAATGTTACGAAAAGCCCATCTATTACGGAAATCGCAATGCAGACTTTTAATCCAGAGAAAAGGTTCTCAACTTGAACCTTGAAAAAATATTCTTTAAACATTAATTAAATAGCCCCGAAATTGTGCTAAAAATGTGTAAACATCCTGTATATGTCGGAGTATAGTTCTGATAAAAAGTGTAAATTTTAACATGAGTCATTGTTCATCGCAGATATCAGTTAGAGTAATTATAGACATCTAAACTTAATGCATAAATGTTTTCTTTAATTTTATCGAGCATGTTTTTATAATTTAAATCTTTCATTTGCATCATAATTAAATATAAAAAGAGTATTTTATTTACTAAAATAGCAAACCCTTTCGAAAATCTTTTTCCCAGCTTATCGTTCAAACCCTGAGATTTTCTGATTGCTTTTAAAATTAAGTACTCCTTTCATTCTTTCTTGCTATTGAAGATATGAGCTAAAAATAGCTCCGAAATGAGTATATTTCAAAACATACTTTTAGAACTGCACTTAAAAGTTTAATTTTAGGGTTTTAAATTGCTTTTCCTTTCGCTCTGAGGAAAAAAGTAAGTTTTGATGAGTGAACTTATGTATCGGGTAACTCCATAGCTAATTTCAGTATAATAACTATGTTCTTCAACCGCATCACTATTCCATCTTCTTGTTTCTATGAAAAATAATAAAGAAGGAGCGTAATAAAAGAGTTCCTAAACCGCTAACTCCATTGACTAGAGTGACTTCGTTTGAAGCAACGTCACAGGCGTGGGAGTCGGCTTCCGACCAATGGCATGGAAGGAAGTGTGTTCTCCTTTGCCGCGGGTTACGGCGGATCGTCGTAAGGGTTTCAGATAAGTTCGAATTTTTCATCCAAGCTACGACGCCGCCATGCATAACAAAGCTGGTTGCGGTTTACCACGATTTTAAAAGACGAAGGTATCACGTTCTTTCGAATTTTAATTCCAAACAATTTTAGTTTCTGCTATTCTAACTCTGATTTAGAAGCGACATTTTGCTAATTACACTGTACTGAAGAATTTTTAAGGTAAGTGGAGATTAAAGAAATTATTAAAATTATTATCAAACAGAATTTTCGCTCAGACTAAAATTACAGATATAAATTTTAAGTTTCACAATTCTTGTTTTTTTATTATTATTTATTTATCTATTTATTAAAAAAATTCCTGTGTATATTTTTTCTTACACTTTATTCATGATTTGATATCCAGCTAGAAAATAGATGTCTTATTAACATTTAACAATGTTTTAACTTTTTTCAGATCATAATAAACTCTTACCTCGTTACAGAATGTAATTTTTAAATTTTAAATGGCTCTATTCAGTTTAAATTTGTATTCTATTCAATAAAGTTGGGTTAACTTACAGCGTGTCAATGCAACTTATTGAAATGCATATATATTTTGAATCGTACGCATTAAATGAAGGTTTTGATGCAATATTTTGTGTACTAAAATATGTTTAGTTATGTGCTTTGTTTTTTATTTTACGTTTATACTGCTTAAGAATCTATCATCATAAGAGCTTGATTGCGATTATATTGGCTGGCAATTTGTTTGCTTTTATATTCCTTACGTGAGTTACCCATCCTTCAAATGGTTTCAAAAAATTTTCCTGAAGTTTCCTTAATATTTTTTCTCATTTAAATATACGGATTTATCAATGTTTTACTCCTTCACTGCTTCTTTCAGTACTGCAGCTAGTAGTAGCATACCTTTAAATCATGTTTCACTGCATTAACACTAATATGAAGGGAAACAAAACGTTACATCAATCGGAGCATAAAGTGAAACGATTGAGTAATTTAAATGATGAGACTTTGGGTACATTTTTTTCCATTCCCAACATTTTTATAAAAATAATTTAACCTTCTAAAATATAATTTCAAATAAACTATGTTCATATTACATTTATTTATATAACATATATAATACATGAATTACTATTATATTAAACATTAAGAAATTTGTGTTTTCTAAATTAGAACTAAAATTCAATATTTTTTTTTTTACAAATATACGAATTACATTTTCAACTATTTAAGTAAATAAAATTAGTCAGCAAGTATTTCAGAGTTCTTTAGAATGTATTTAGCAGATACGAAAGAATATTATTTCTTGACATTATATTAATGCCATGAATAATATATCTAAGTAATATGTTTCAAATTGCGGCAACTCATAACACGAGGCATTTTTAATTTTTCCCCCTTGAATCGGAGATAAAAGCATATTATGTACAGAAATAAAAACTTTTCAGAAATAAATTTTGAATAATTTAGTTTCATGAAACTAGAAATATTATGAAAGTGTTACTAGAAATCTCGATGGGAGATATTAATTACTTTCGAATACTTAAAAAAGAGCTTAAAAAAAACCACAAAAAATTTTAAATAAATTACCATATCCTATGAAAATTTAGAAATTCAAAAATGCGACTCTAGCGATAGCAGCAACAAGTGGTGGTAATAATGCAAAACAAATTTAATTAATGCCTTTAAAATCCATGCCGTATTTAATTCGAAATAAAGCTTATGCAATAATAAAATACCAGAAGCACTGTGATAAACTGCATGAGAGGTACAAGAAATGCTAAAATCAAAATGGAAGAAGGAAGAAAATGATTTGCATCTTCTTCAGGGTGTCAGTGCAAGGAAAGATTGGATTGAATTGGATTATTTAATTATGGCAAAGCACACGAGGGCTATCTGCCTAAAGGGGGGGGGATGACTTCGTGGATGATTTTCTAAGGGAAACTCGTATACACGTTACACATGGAGAAAAGCATGAAACCTCCCATGCAGCCAGCCCGTTCGGTGGGATTCGAACCTCGGACCGAATTTCCAGTGTTCAGCGTCTTTACCGCTCGGCCGCTGGTGGGCCCCACAAGGAAAGAAATAAATACATCAGCCTGTTTCTGAACCAATAATAAAGCAAATTAAAAATTACAATTTAATACTTAAAATAATAAGATATATATATATGTATGGTATCAGTTAGTTCAACACAGTCACCAGAGGCGATCACGTGTGCGCCGACATTGAGAGCGAGGTGAAGGATAGACAAATGTTGATTCTACGCAAAGGTGGAAACAAACGAATTCTGTTAAAATAGCAAGCACGAGTAGGCGCTGTGTAGCTATTAAAATACGTAATAAGTCCTGCAGAACTGTATTTGTATCTAACAAGCGCGAGAACGCGCAACGGAACTGTTATTTTAATTCAAATTTGTAGCTATTCTATTATCAATTATTATTCATTAAATGTCTGTGGTGTGGAAGTGTTATTTACTTAAGGATATCATCTCCCCACCCGCATATATATATATATATATATATATGATCAGATTCAATTTTCAAAAGGTAAACATAGGGGCTTTAAGATAAAAAAGCGGTTTTGATTTAATTGTTATCTTGTAGAATCATCAAGATTTTTGAAGTAGGAAACACACGAAAAATGAGCAACGCCGTCGCCGGGAATCGAACCTAGACCTCTCGAATACGCGCCGAGGGTGCTGACGTTACACCACGAAGGCATGCTGAAAGGTGGTAGTAAATACCTGTACTTTTTCGTTTCGCCTGCGCAAATCTCGCCAAGCAGACTTTATTGGCGACAACACACAGTACACACATAAAAAATGTAAACAAATGTTAGTTCTAAGTATTTTTTATTTTGAAGCCATAAACATTTTAATATCGTTTAAAATTTTGTAAAAAGACAATAAGTAAAGATAATATATTTGTAAAAAGAAATTAATTTAAGAATTTACTATGCTTTCATGGTACAGCATCCTGATTCGCCGGTTCATATCACGTGACTCCAAGTGATCTCATCTCACGTAAACTACGCTACAAAAATCTAATTCTCTCATTAATTTCAAGTTATTAAATTTCAAGTTATCAAGTTATTAGTTCATTCTTCATTAATTTCAAGTTAAAACGCAATATGGAATAAAAGTTTAAATGCAAGAATCATTTTAATTTGTACGACTAGCCTACTCAGAAATCATGTACGTAAAACTGCAGTGCTTTACTTCGCTAGTGCATTCTCATTAGAACTGATGAATTTAACCCTTGACTTTGCCTTTTTTTATATTTTCGCCTTCGGATGAGCGGTGTGATTGCATCCTAATTGACTTAATTACCGCGAATTACCGTAGGGCATAAAACTGAAGTATCTGGTAAAACTTCTATGCACTTTTATGCCAGTATTGAAAGAAACAATCAATCTGATAAGAAATGGCTGCGACTTGTTTTTGAAAATGAGGCGTAAAAAGGTTACTAGCGAGGATATTCCGTTTGGCATCGGTTGTACCATTTTTGGCGACTTTGTCGCCAGCGCCGCCAAAACGGAAAAGTACCAAAATACCTTATAATCTCTTGAATATAATAAATTTCGCATCACTGAACGACTATAATAATTTATAATCTTAATTTGAATTTTGTGAACATTTATACTGACAATTTGTGCTTATAAATATAGTATGTTGCTATTATATATACATAATTGTATTACAATTTTAAAAAATATCTTAATCTTATTTCCGCGCAATGTGCTGCTGAAAATTTAATCAGTTATTAACAAATAGTAAGAAATTTAGAACCTAATTCACCAAGACATGAAAGAAATGAAATTCAAAGCTAGTAAAATCCCAAAAATTCCCAATAAAATGTAATAAACCAACAATTATTTTCAAACCACAAGAATTGCCTAAAACAACAGAAAATATAGAAAACAAAAAATAGGAAGACGATACATTCAAAATCTGATTCAACATTATGAAGAGGAGGTGTATCAGATTTAGCTGAATCTGTCCTCCCAGGGAAACTACTGAGTATCTCTTCATCCAAAATCAGCTGATGAAATATCACAATAGTTCATCCGAAAATTCTGAACGCCTCTCCGACGCGGAAGCCCTCCATTGATATGAAGTAAAAGTATACCAAAACAAAGCTAAGTGAAGTAAATTCAGTGCCCAAAATGCAAAAGAAATATAGACACTATTTACTAATATTAAAATTCAAATTTAAATGTAATAATAATTGTTACATTTTCACAAATTCTCTCGAAAAAATTTATTTCAAATAGATTTGATTTCGTATATTTTTAGTTCATATGAATGGAAGGCTTCTGTGTCGGAGAGCAGTTCAGAATTTTCAGTTCAACTGTTGTAATTAAATTATTTAATATCGGCTAATTTTGGAGAAATAGAAACGCAGTGTTATCTCTGGGAGAAAGGATTCATTTAAATCTTATCTATCTCCTTTTGATAACGTTGAATCAGATTAAATTGTATTCCTCCTCCTATTTTTTTGAATTTTTAGATTTTTTTATTATTTCATTTTTTATATTTCTCTTGTTTTCGACAATTCTTCTGGTTTGAAATCAAATGTTTTACATTTGATTTCAAACCAGAAGTTAAGATTTCAAACCAGAAGATTTGAAACCAGAAGTGCATTTCTGAAGATTTGAAACCATTTGATTTCAAACCAGAAGTGCTGATGTTTTACATTCTTATTGGGAATTTTTGGAATTTTGCTGATTTTGAATTTGGATTCTTTCACCTTCTTGTGAATTAGGTTTTAAATTTCTTAATATTTTGTCTATCTATCAGGTAGATAGTATATATTATATATATAATTTACACAGATATATAGTATATATATATACACTATATTGCTACATATATACTATATGTAAAATATAAAAAAATACGATGGCTTTGAATTTCGAGAACACGCACCCTTTAATTAATTTTCTGCAATTTAGGATCTTTCCCCTAGACGAGTACCTTCTAGAATTGGCTAGCCTATTACGTAACCGCTACTATAAATACTGTGTACGCGTCATTTTTCAGTCAGATTGCTTTCTAATCTCGCTGCTACAAGACTCTGCGGCGCCCTGTCTATCTTTTCTTCCTTTGTTAGAATTAGTTATGACGCATAAAGTTTAAATTCAATCATTCTTAGTTAAAATCACTATGGATATGTAATTTAGAGAGTGTCATCTAAAAGGAAAATGATCTGCTA